AACACTGTGTGATATCGTTATTAACATGTGGCCAAAGTTTTATGCTTAAGGTCCCTTCGTTTATTTAAAACAAAATATTCACACGAACTTAACATTGTAAGTTTTCCAAACATAAGTACATAACTACTAAATTAGATTCAGTGAAAAATCATCATTTTTCCACTCAATTACAGTTCTTCAAGATCTGGAAACATCTGTTATACCAGCTATAGGCCTGGCTGCTGCCTTGGAGCAGTAGGAGGACATAGAGACCGCCTGTACCCCTACAAGGCCCTACTCACTTTTGTGAGTTGCTAAGGGTTGTCTCCTGAAGGATAAGGCACTATCCAAATGCTGTGGATAATGTCTATGACTTTAGACACATAATAATGCTAGTGACAAAAATCAATTTTCATTTCTTTCTAGAGGAAAAATAAAAATTAAAATTAAATCAGAAAATCTGAAATCTAGAAGGCACTTCTTTCCCCATTTACAAATGTGATTTGGGCCCAATTAATGGTGTTACCTGATGATTTAACTAGTTCTCCTACTTCCTGCTCTACACTACTTACGTTCAATAGTTTTTAGCATAAACGTAATGTTCTTTCTCTTCACAGTATATGGGATCAAGCCCAGGGCCATGGGCTTGCTAGGTGAGCACTCCACCACGGAGCCCCAGCCCCAGTCCTAACACTTCTTAGTGTAATGAGAAAACATGGATAAGAGAGTCAAAATTATAACATGGTTAAAATGGTTACAGTTGATAAGAAATTTTATATTAATATTTTACTTTTATACTATAAAATATGTAAGTATTTATAAAATTAAGTGATTAATAAAAGGAGCTTTTAGGAATATAGTATAAACTCCAGTGACACATAATATGTAAGAAGAATAAATTATGATAATAAAAAGTAATCTCTGAAAAACCACATGTTCTAAATTTTTAGCATCAGAGAATATTCAAATTCAGTTCATATTTGATTTCTGTATTTTATGCTGATTTATACTATCTCCTTAATTTAAGAGAAAAGGAACTACATTCTCAGGAAATGAAGGAACTCACAGAACATCCATAATATTTTATGTTAATTGTTCACTAAACATTTACATGACTACCATTTCTCGATAAAATACAAGATACTGACATTATAGTTGGTGAAAGAAGAAAAAGGAAAGCCCTGTCTTCAGGTCCTCCCAGTCTAGAAAGTGAAACCAGACAAAATCAAAGTGCAGGTTTCTCTATCTTTAGGCCTCTGCCCAGGTTGTGATGGGAATAAAAGAAGAGTGTCTAACTGAGCAGTAATGGAGCCAGGCCAAGACAGGCTGGAGAGAAGAACATTAGAAAGTCTTCTTGGAAAAGGTGGTAGAACAAGACAAAAGGTGGAGAAAAGTGAGGGGCAGAAACAGACAATAAAGGCATTTATTTAATGGTCCTCTCTTGAGGACCACACACACGATGAAGGAAAAATTTCTTTTGGAACATATGATGGAGTTCTGTAGGAAATAGAAGCCTTAGGCTGAGATAAAGTTCGGGCTGAAAGCAAAGTTGAAGCCATTAGGAAATAGGTATCTTGTGGGTGAGACAGTTCAGAGAAAAGGCATAGAATGATGAAAAGATTAAAATGGGATTCAAAGATATAAGCTCAAAAAGGAAACAGATGCCACTAGAGTCCTGCAGAGGAACCCAAGGGGAGATAAAGATAGGAAAAAGGAGAAAAAAGAGCTAAGAAACAGAGTGAATTAAAATAAAGATCAAGAATATTTCGAGGAATTGTTTTCTGGACACTCCTCCAGGCCTTAGGACTGCATCTGATAGACTGAAAGAACTGCTTTACTAAGTCAAAATTCTTTAATATGGTAGTGTTTATTTGTCTTATTACGTTAGATAACTTGCTAAGAAGTAGTTCAATGCTCATGAGAATAGCCTTATTTAGGCAGGGGGATCTCAGTTCCAGGTCAACCCTGGCAAAAAATTATCTCAACAAATAAACTAGGCATAGTGGGTCATGTCTGTAATTCCAGCTATACAGGAGGCATGGATAGGAGGATCACAGTTTGAGGCTGACTCCGGGCAAAAGCATGAGACCTTATCCAAAAAAATACGTAAAGTATAAAGTGGGGGGCTGTCTTCGGGAAGTGGCTCAAATGGTAGAGCACCTGCCTAGAAAACATGAGGCCCTGAGTCCAAACTCCAGTACCAGAGAGAGACAGAGGCAGAGAGAACAGTCTTGTTTAATATCTGTTAATACTTGTATCATTAGGATTCGCTCCAAAAAATTAAATGAGGATGCATTCATTCAACAAATATTGCTGAACATCTTTTATGTGATAGCCACAGTGCTGACGATGGAGCGTGGTACAAATAAGAAAGTGAATAAATGTTTGTTGGATAAGTAAACACATGGTAAAGTTCTCATGTAAACGTTGAGTGGCAGGGAGGCTTTCTGAGAAGGTGGTGTCACAGACTTTGAGTGTAAGAGCCTGCAAGGTGAGGGGACAGGCAGATGGGAATAGGCAAAGAAGCTGAGATATCTGATTTCCATTTTAGAAAAAACAGGGTGGAGAGAGGATTTCTAGAGAGCAAGGCTGGAGGCAGGAAGACCAGGTTGTTTGAATTCAGGCAAGAGGTGATCATATTCTGAGATGGAGTACTAGACATGTGAATACAGAAACATTGTTGAATTTGAATGAATTTAGGAGTTAAATCAAGAAAAGATTATTAAGTAATACAATGTGAGATACAGGTAGAAAGAGAGTGAGGAATGACACCAAAGCCCTGGCTGTGGTACCTGTGGACAGTGGTATTGAGCAAAGAACTCAAGAAGGGTTTAGATGCCTTGCAGGCCCTGGCTCTTCAGACAATTGTATCTGAAGCTCAGGAATGAGATCCAAGATCTATGAATTTGAGGCAAGGCAGCTAAAGCTGTGGGAGTTGATGAGATTTGCCAAGGAAAGTGAGAATGAGAAGAAACAAACCATCAAGAACTCCAACTTAAGGTCTGGGGTGTAGCTAGCAGTAGAGCATTTGCTGAGCATGCATAAGACCCTGGGTTTGATCCCTGACACCACACACACACACACACACACACACACACACACACACACACACACACAATCTCTAAAGAAAATCTTAAATATTGATAATAGTCTGAGCTATTTTTAAATACCTGCAGCAAAGCATAGGAAAGTTTTCTGTTTTTAATTAGCAAACTGACAATAACAAGCACATTTAAAATATAATGTTCACTAAATATATTTTGACACACACTTAGAGGTGTATAGAAAATAAAATATATAAATGTAATCCTTTAAACTGATCACATATTTTCTTAAAAAGAAAAAAGAAATGCATTGAAAGTGCTAAATCAGTTAAACACTAGGAACTTAAGGAAAATATTACATCCAAGGGCATCTAAATAGAATTTTTGTTTTACAATAGGTTTAGATTTACTGACAACATTCAAAGATAGTACAATGAGTTGAAACAAGATTTTAAAGGATAGATTTATGGCAGTGAAATATTCTGTTATGTCTCTACTTCCTCAATTACAACTATAATTACATGTGCAGTTTAAGTGACTGAAAGTTAATTGAACAAAGTTTTAATCAAGTATTCTTGATGAAAAGCAAGTGTTGTTCCCCTTTCTCTTCCTCTCTTTATCTCTTTGTTGTGTCACCTACAACAACATTAGTTCATTAAAGTTACACTTCCAGAGCTGAAGTTATATGTAAGTGCTGAAAGGTATCCTAATCAATAAAATTAAGATTGGTTTTCTGAAAACATTAATTTCTATTTACAGTTAAATAGACTTGTCATTTTGCATTTAGAAAATTCAGATGGTTTTCTGCTCCAAAATTCAAGTATAAACCACCTTTGAACACTGTAATAAAAACTCTTTATCTGGGATTATTAGAGTATTTCTGGAAATATCCTAAATATGGTTTGAAAAAACAGCAATTCCTCTGCAAAGAGACAGGATTTGTTAATCTAACTCCTGAACTCCTGAAGTTGGCAGGTGAAGAAGAGTTACATTTTCTACAAGAGTTGATACACTTGCCCAGGTTATACTTAGATCTATTTTGCAAATAGTTACCACAGAAGATCAGCAATATCAGTTAGTCTAAAACTTCTCTGAAATGAACCACACGTTTTACTCTTTCAAAAAGGAAATGATTTTTTGACAATGCTGTTCACGGAAGGGGATTTAAACCATGCACATATACATACAATATATATGTACACACACGTATGTGCTATCCATTAAGAATACTCCAGGCAGAATCAATGTCTCAAGTAATTTTTCTTTATTAAATCATTATCTGTCTGTTGGTTATTTCCTTTCATATTCATTTAATTTCCTAAAATAAAATGCTCTTATATTTAGAAAAATAATATCCCTGTATAATCTGTCAAATTTTAGAACCATAAGAACAGTGCATCTTTGAAAGTTAATTGCAGGAACAAAAAATTCATTTACTCATTTCATTGTAAAATCTCAATTCTATCACACATCTTTATTGATTAAATTATCAGATTTCACTTCTCAAAAAAATTTTTTCTTTTTGATGGGACTGGGGTTTGAACTTAAGCCTTTGCACTTACAAACCAGGTGCTCTACCACTTGAACCACACCTCCTGTCCATTTTGCTCTGGTTATTTTGGAGATGGGGACTCGTGAACTATTTGCCCAGGCTGGCCTCGAGTTGTGATTCTCTCAATCTCAGCCTCCAAAAGTAGAATTTTGGCATGAGCCACCAAGTGACCAGCTTATTTTTTTTATTATTATATATAAAGGATCACACTATTTAATTAATTATTAATAACAAAAACTTTCATGTTAAGCATACTGATTAAATTATATGGTAAGTCTTATCTTAGTACCCTAAACTATGATTTTGAAAATAAAAAGGGGGTTACAGAACAGACTACTAAAATAAAACTTTGTCTACTTTGAATAAGTAGTCTGGAAAAATAAACATAAACAGCTGAAGTTTGACCCACCATTTTTTCTTCTTACCTCAGGTTGACTGGAAATATTCAAAATGAGAGCCCACAGCTCAGCTCTCAGTGCTGTGGGGCTTCCTTGTCTGACATACTGCTGAGCAGCAGCACTATCCTGTTCTGCTAGAACTATCAAAAAGTATATTAAAAGCTCATTAGAAAATTCATAATGGAAGAAACACCACTGAAGTCTGTAAGTCTCCTGGGAAGGAAGCTAACATTTAGTCTCTATATCTGACAGAATTATATCTGATATTTTTCTTCTTTTACTCTCTGGACTTTGACATGGCCCTATTTATAGTTCTAAAAGTCCCTCCAGTTCACACCCAGAGTGATAAAGTCTCACTCTATCTATCTATCAATCAGTGCTAGGGATGGAACTGAGGGCCTTGCACATGCCAAATAAGCATTCTACACTCAACTACATCCCCAGCCCCTGGTAAAAGCTTGATATACCTTAATATTACTTTGCTTTAACTATAGTTCCATGGTCTAAAACTACTAATATATAAAATAATTTTGGGATTCTATGTTTAAGTAAAGTCATACCTAGCACCTTAAATTTCTTATACATATGCTATTAAATCATGAATGTTCTGATATTTGGAAGTCATCAAGTATCATGACTAAGAATTGTAATATATAAGAATGTAAGGGGCTGGGATGTAGCTCAGTGGTACAGAACTTGCCTAGCATGTGTGAGGCCCTGGGTTCGATCCCAGCACCAAAAAAGAAAAGACAAAAAAAAAAAAAAAGAATGTAAGATATCCATCCTATTAGACAATGTCTTAGTTATTTGCAAAAGTCAACAGAGAAGAGAGATTTTAAAATCAGCAAAAAGTGAAGATCTGATAAACTTTTAACAAGGCCCAAATTACTCTTAAGCACCCATGTTCAAAAATTTGTATATCACCTTTTTGCTTTTATTGTCATTAATGAAAACATCAGCTATTCAGTCTGTAAAGAAAGGCCCACCACAAAATAAAACAAACGAAAATAAGATATACTAAACAACTTCTGGTGTTTGCCTAACAGTACTTTCTTATGTTTCCTCTTAAAGGGAAAGGGAAAATTTTTGTATGAAATGAAAATTACCTGACCAGAAGAAATAAAGAGATTATAAAAAATAAAAATGAGATGGAACATATTCTTTAATTTGCAATTATGTTTCATGAAAGAGTTAAAAAATCATACAAATGAAGTTTTAAGTAAATAGAATTTTGAAAAATTGAACTCAGGTGTTTGGTACATGACATCATTGTCATAGAAGGTTCACTCTGACACAAAGCCTTACCTGCACTTCACAGTTCAAAGATCAAACATGGTTTCTAAAAACAAGGAAGGAATCTTTAAAAGATGGGAAAATTATTCCTCAGGATCAGAAGACTGCTTTGGTTATTAAGTCTTAGAGGAGTCAGCGGGAACTGGCAGTTACTTTCTTTCCGGATGCAGGAGCATATGCTCATTAACGCTAATGAGAGGTGTGTGGTGCATCAAAGCAAAAACCTGCCTCTTTGATTGTAAAATGAAATTCTACTGCTGATGTTTTAATCTACCATTACTGAGGAATGTGCATCTGCATTTATTTGCTTTTCAGTGGTCCAGCTGTGTTCTTCATCTAACATTTATTATGAGGCTAACACAATGCCTTGTCTTCCTAAACAAAGATTCCCTTCAGATTACCTGCATAGCTAAATATCACTTGCTCCTCTTTAAGTTTTTAGCTTTTCAGAGATTAAACTTCAGCTGGGGATATTAGAGTAGATACTTGCCCCAACTAGCTCTATTTTTTAAGTTATAGTAATTATGACTAAATGCTTACCTTTCTGCCCGATACGCACATGCTCATTTTCAAAGAGTTCTAAATGTTAAAAGAAAATAAAACTATTAGACACAAATATGATCAATCATCATACTTTGAATAAGAGGTATCTGTTTTGGTACTAATATGTTTAATTATTTTTAAAGTTGGATAGCTCTGTAGAAAACTACAAGATTTTTTTTTTTTTTTTTGAGAGAAGGTCTTGCTGTGTAGCCTAGGCTTACCTCCAACTTGTGATCCTCCTGCCTCAGACTCCCAGGTGCTAGGATTGCAGGCATATGCCATGCCACCTGGCTCTGAAAACTGTAAAAATATTTATCCTATATGTAGAAAAATCTTTTTTTCTAATTGTTTAAAAGTGAGTTTAAGCATTTATATGGAAGAAAAAATGAATTAATTTTGTCTTTGTTAAAACAGTACCTTCTTTTAAAAATTCTTTTTATTATTGTGCTGTGTGGGGGTATATTGTGGCATTTACAAAAGTTCTTACAAATGTATCATATTAGAATTCACCCCCTTCACCATTCTCCTTAATTCCCCCCATTCCTGGAGCAGTTTCACAAAATAATCTTTTATTTTTTTTTTCTTAATAAAAACTACTGGCAACTTCATTTGTAAAATCCTACTTCCACTCCAATCTACCATTGAAGTACATCTAATAATAGTTTATCTTATAATGGTAATATCCCACTATATGACGACTTTGGGAAATTCAAGGACATTTAAATGCAGACCAAATTTACACCATTACTCCCAACAGTGATAATAAAATAACAATAATAACAGAGTAATAGAGGCAGCCAGTTTTCTTCTACTTGAGATACTTTAAAATCTAGTTTTGAGATGTAAAATTGTAACACTAAGGCAAAATTAGTAGATTTAATTAAAGAAAGATCAATGTATGTTTGATATATTTTCAATATCAGGTAATTTTTTAGATTTAAAAAGTAATCCATAAAGTTATTCTTTTGCAAAACAGAATATCTGGAACACAGTACTATATATATTATATATGTTAACTTATTCCTTATGACTGAGGTAATTAGTTGTACAGATCATAAAATAATAAGGAAAGTATATGGGATCCTTACTAACATCGCTATCACTATTTCTATCACTATATAAATATTTTTATTTCAAAGACTACACATAAAATAATAATACAGGCTCATTTTAATAAGTTATAATTGCTGAAGCTTGGTCAGCCAAATTCTTGTTTTCTAATAAAAGTGAATGATACTGTGGAATGACAATAGTGTTTTATTACCCAAGGTTGTATGAAGCAGCAATATTCAAAAAGACCTCTTTACAGACTTTTACTATTCAATTATGTGAAAAATAATACATTTGCTTGCTAAATGCCATTTTCCAGCCCCAAAATGAGCAGGCAGCTCAAAGAAGTCAGAATTTCTAATCTATACTCTCATTGTACATTTCTCAGAGCAGCTCTGAGGACAATGTATTAATATATACATTTATCTTAATAGATATTTATTAGACAAAAAAAAAAAAGAGTTCCCTGATACAATGAGTTTAGGAGATAGAAAGCTAAAGTAATTTAGAACTTCTCCTAAGAAGTCTTTAAGATAGGGTAATGTACTGTCTATCTTAAGAAGCCATATGGCCTGGCTCTTCCCAAATCTTACTTGACAAAATCCCCTCTTTCACAGGGCATCTTATGTGTGTTCCACAGAACATACCTCAGGAAATGCATCAACAGAAAAAAATTGTTTTTCTTTTAGAAATAATAAGTTATACAAAATGTCTAGTTAGCAGAACTCTCATCTAGTAGGATTTATTATTAAGGATATTCAGACAATAAATTACAGACATGTGACCCAATGCTGATCCTGCTTACCCTGTTAACACTGACTTTGTAAGTGGCCTCCATAGTAAGCATGTGTGTTATAATAAGTGCAAACTTGTGAGTTTGCAGAAACAATGGATTTACCTAATTTTAAAAAATTAAAAAATATTAATGTCTAATTAAAATTATTATTAAATAAAAAATCTTTAGCATAATGGTAGACTTTTCTCCTGACTTTTATGAAAGCTGATATGATACTAAATGAGGACTGCACTGTGAATATAATAAGTAAATAACAGTAATAGGTAAGTATTACTGTTATAGTGACAGATTTAAAAGATGAGTAAAAACAACATAGTTCCTACGAGTTATAATCTTAATAATAAAACTTACCTCTAGCTAAACACAAAGTATTAGAAACATTTTCAGACACTAAACATCATCTTTCCAATTTAACAAAAACCATAGATGTAGTTATGACCAATACCATTTTTCTTTCAAAGTAATACTGTCACCTAGCAATTTTCAATTAGAAAAATCTGAGCACTGTACCACTAAAAATAATCTCATTGGATGAACACTTATTTAAGCACAATTTTTAGCAGTTCTGATTTGAGAAGTAGAGAGAGAAAAAATAACTGCATCAACTAAGAGATTATCAACCTTCTCCAGGCAGCTCGATCACTCTTTCTTCTGCTCCAGCTTCCCTTACATGCAGTAACAGCAAATAATTCCACACTGAATCTTCACTGCCACATACCACCACAGCTTTCCTAAGAGCACAGATTATGACTCAAAGCTACCTATTCACCAGCCACTGGCCCTTGGCAGGGTCTCAACATACATTTTTATATTATGAGTTGATCAGAAAAGGGAAATATGTGCTATAGATGAAGAAGTATACCAAGTTATCTAAAGCACAGCCACTATAAGGTTTAGAATAATTTAAAACAATTCTTAAAGATTATTTCAAAAGTGGAAAATACAATTCAAGATTATGTTACTCTTTCCTTTTTTGTGCAGTTTATTTTTAATTTTTTAAAAATTTTTATTGTTTTATTATTCACATGTGCATACAATGCTTGGGTCATTTTTCCGCCCTGCCCCCACCCCCTCCCTTACCACCCGCTCCGCCCCCTCCCTCTCCCCTCCACTCCCTCGGTACCCAGCAATCTTCCCTTTCCTTTTTGTATACATGGTTATTACTGGCCATGAACAAAAAGAGTTACTCTTAACTTATTCTATAAGATACCGGATTCCGTCTTCTAAAACAAGAAAAGCTATCAGGTGGCAGGAGGGAGGCAGCATAGTGTAGCATGCTTTGGAGACAGACTTGTAGTCGGCTCCACCACTTACTAGGTTTTTAAATGTGAGGAATTTTCTTAACATCCCCACTTCTTCAACTATAAAGTGGGAGTGTACTCCTCCCTACATCATATAAGAAAACTAAAGCCATAATGCAGTCCTACCACATACCACAGCAATGACTAAAACAAAGAAGATGGGAGATGCCCAGCACTGGCGAGGAGGTACAGCAACTGTGACTCATGCACTGTTGGTGCAAGTGTACACTGGCACTTCCACTGCAGAAAATCTTCAGCCATTACCCACTAAAGCTGACCATACACAGTCTCTAGACCAAGAAAATGCATTCCTGGGCACATGCCCAACAGAAGAGTAGACACCAAAGAGAGAAATTAGAGTTGTATGGACAATTACAGTTTAAAAGACACTAACTTAAAAGCCTAAGTCTACTTGAGGTATGTGCTACTGTTCACTTAACTTAATAATATGAAAATAAAAACAGATAATGATGACTAGGAAGGAATAATGATGAGTGCTGCTAATGAAGATTCTGACAAAAACAAAAACTTTTCACAATCATTTTAAAAACCCTCAAATAAAAAGCCAAAAATTTGATAATTACAACATACAGGATGCTATTCAATAATTAACAGTAACTAACAAAAGACGAAGGCTTGCTTAGTTTTCAGGTATAAAAAAATCTATGAGATTAATCTGGAAATATCAAGATACTCCTTACAATCACTCTCAGTTGTGACTTACATGAACTAAGCACTATATGGGAGAAATACTAACCAGGAGGCACTTGTGTAGAATCATCTATCCCCAATTGTCCTGTATTTAAGCCAAGTTCTATGAAGCATTCTTTCTGAAAAATAACATATGAAGAATTAACACACATCTCAGACTTTGCCATATAGTAAAAGGTTACTACCTTCACCTAAGTATCAGCTTAAATAAAAATCACAAAGTAAAATGAATCCGTATTTCATTTAAATATCTAAAAGAGCAAAGGACAGTATTTTACATCTAAATAGTGCATCAGTTCAAAATTAAGGAACAAACCAACTACAGAGCATTGTAGTAATGTTGTTACTATACAATGTTTAATATTTTCACGTGAAATAAACGAGAACAGAAAACATACAAGCAGTTAGACGCCATCTCAAAAAATAAGAAAATCAGGCATACAATATGTTTACTAATGTAGAGCCTTTAGTAATATTTTTCTTTCCCCGAATCTTTCCTGTGGAATCACAGTAAAACAACGTTTACTTTGATGCTACTATTATTTTTAAAAACTTTTTCAAAAATTGTTCTTGATTTTGCCTTTTTAGGTAATAGATGAATCGGTAAGATAAGGAATGATAATTATCCTTTTGAGTAAAGAAATACTTATGTTTGAACCTTTCCTGAAACACATGGTCACTCACAGTCAGTCCAGCATGTAGCATTTCCCAGTTTTCTCTTCTAACATCATTGTCTAAAACTGCCAATATAAATCTGTATCTGTGCCTTCTGTGGTATAGCACCACACTCAACTCTTAATGAACCAAACATTGAAAGTCTCCAAAACAAGCTTATTTTTAAGTAAAACTGGACTATTAAATGGCTCTGCTAAAGTACAGATAAATTAGATTTATTCTTCAGACTTCCTCTACTTATCTAATAATGTCTAGGGAAAGTAATTTTGTTTGTCTGGTATGTTTTAAACATATAAGAGCCCCATATCATTCACATTATTTTTATTCCTAAGCAATTAAATATTCTATTAATATTTGCCTCAGTATCTATAACTATTCTAATTGCTAAAACCATATTTCCCCTTTAAAAATGGAATTAGTTTTGATCTTTTCTAGTTATTTATTATTATTTAGAGACTTATTAATGTTTCTCACAAACAGTAACTCAGTCTAATACATACACATACATACATTTTTTCATTCTGCATTGATTGTAAATAACCACCATTACTTTGGACTGAAATTGATTTTACCTACACTAAAAGACTGACTTATGCTATCCCTTCTTAATGAATGCAGTCCTCTCATATTTATCATAGTATCTGCCATAGCAGAGGAGTTCAGAGAACACTGAAACACATTACTGAGCTCCAGTTCCAGCCTGCCACCTCCACATGACTGAATTAGTTGTCTTCACTTTAGAGTTAATAAATCTCAGTTTAAGAAATTTCCTTTTAATATAGATGAGTCTATATAACATTGTGACTAGGCTTAAGGAGATCCATGTTCAGATCACAGGATTCACTGAGCCTCACCAAATTCCATACTCTTACTGACCAAAGTCATGTATACTGGAGTTAGAATTATCACCAGCCAGGCAATGGACAGGGAAGGCAAGGGGACAACTATCTCTAATAAATGCAGTAAAGGACTAACCTTACAGTCCCAAGTTCTTGAAAACCAGCCATAGGCTTCTGATTCTGCAATAGCTAAGAAAGCATTCCTATGAGCTTCAGGTTCCTTCATACAGAAGAGAAGATGTGTTGTCCCCTCACACATGCTGAGAATTTCCCTAAACTGTCCTTCCCTGCTTCTTCACTTAGCAAACTGCTTCAAGACCTAGTTCAAGTACAAGTACCTCTGAGAAAACCCCTACCACTTTTTGGAGAAGAACCACTACTCCCCCTTCTGTAACCACAGCACTTGGTACAAATCTCTACCAATAGGACTTTAAAAATAACCTAAAAATTAGGTTTTCTCACAGTTGTAGTTCTAACCATTAAGTACCACCTATATACTTTATGCATTATATTAGTTTCTGAGGGCTGCTATGAATAAAGTACCACAAACTGGGTGGCTTTAAACAACAAAAATTTGTTCTCATTATCCTAGAGGCTAGAAGTCCGAAATCAAGTTGTTGGCATGAATTCGTTCCATGCCTTTCTCTTAGTTTCTGGTGTTCTTGGCAATCTTTCATGTTCCTTGGCTTGTAGTGTTTCACTCTAATCTCTGCCTTTATTGTCATATGACATTCTCCCTGTGTGTCTCTTCTCCTATTCACATAAGGACCCCATTCATGTCAGACTTAGTTCCCCCTGCTCCAGAAGACCTCATCTTAACTTAATTACACCTATAAGGACCCTATTTCCAAGTAAGGTCACATTCACAGGCATTAGAGGTTAGGACTTCAACACATTTTTTGTAGATACACAATTCACCTCATACCATATGTCTTAACTTATTTGTTCTATAAAAACACTTCTATAAGATACTATCTCTATTTTATAGATCAGGAAACTAAGACTCCAAAAAGACAAATAACTTGCTCAAAGTCACATAGGCAGCAAGTAGTAGAGTCACAAGTTAAAGCCAGGCTGATTGGCTTCAGAGTGTCGTCACCTAACCATCAGGTGATACTCCTCTATGTGCAGCAAATAGCTCAAGGAATCAATCAGCAAAAAGACTTTTAATAATAACAACAAAAGAGCAGTTCCTATCTTATATGCTACTCCCCAACACACTCATACATACAATCACAGATGGCCTACTACCCAGGAACACTCTTTCTCATATTTTTTCTGGCATTCATCTCCTTATTTCCATGTAAGAAGTATACATTGCTATTTTTAACTCACCAGTTTCAGATACTATTGATTTATACGGTAAATCAGGATTTTAGTTCCTGTACATTCTCTTTCCTTCCCTTCATCATCATGATTTAATTATATATAATTTTTGGTTAAATCCATATGATAAGTTTGCCTTATTATAACTATATCAATGTTATTATTTACTGGTAACCACCTACTATTGTCATTCTCTAAATTGGCTCTTTCTTGGTTTTTTATTTTTGTTTTATACTGTGTTTTTGTTTGGGGCTTTAGTTGTATTTTTCAAACTGGAAGAGTTCAAATATCTGAGGATTCTAGCAATTTAGGAATGAGGCAAAAAAAACCAACTGGAAGCTCTGTTTGCAAGGACTGCTCACAGGCTGTGGTAGGCTTCACTGTGAGGCACAGTGGTGGTAGTAGGGACTAGTATATTAGTCTCACCATTCAGCAGACTTTCACTTAATTCCTCTCTTTCAATGACTCCTGCTATATATCTGAGGTCTCTGAATTCGCAGTCTTTCTGATTCTTTTCTTTTGGGGTACTGGGGATTGAACCCAGGGCCTTATAATTTCTAGGCAAGCTCTCTTCCACTTGAGCTACACTCCGAGCCTGCCTTCACTTTAGTTTTTGAGCTAGTCTTCATAACTTTGTCTGGACTGGCCTTGAACTCACAATCCTTCTGCCTCTACCTCTCAAACAGCTGGGATTATAAGCATGTACCACCATACCTTGTTGCTTTTCTGATTCTCTATCGCTGATGAATGTACCTCTGGTCTCCTATGGGAATGGAAGAGTCATCTGACTATACGTTTAGTAAAAATCTGGAGGTCTATTTCCTCCTGATACTTAATGCCACATAATCTCCATTTTCAGCCCTATGGATTAGTATGGCCTTCTGTGACACATGGTATCTATGATCTTTGAGGCTTTCAAGGGTCAATGAAGAAAATCATTTTGCTTCTTGTATCAGACAGTGCCCAGTTAGGAGAGACAAACATTGCTAGAAATGTGAAGAGGAAAAATAGAAGTAGCAAATGCAAAAATCAACTGTGACTTCTAGACTAAAGGAGAGTAAACAAAGAAGGAACTAAGAACTCAGAAAAGGTTTCTTCTAGTACTCCAGGATGTGATTCAGACCTGTATGGAGAGGAAGTGGCTGCCACAAGAACACACAGCCCAAGGGTGGTAAAAACACTCGCCAAAAGGAGCAGGCTAGAGCTGAGCTCAAGACTTGGTAAGGGGGTTGTAACTGGGCCTTCTGCATGCTTACTGGTTGTCCTCCACACAGGAACCCAGAAGAGAAGCCTCTTCCTCCTGCTATAGGTTTGCAGTGTCCCTCTAGAGCTTTCTATTAACAAAACTGACATCAGGACAGCTGGCAAAGGGAAATGTTAACTGGGTCTGGCTCTAGCATGATAAAGCAGTGTACCAAAAGGTAGACTTTGAGTGAAAAAATTGAAATGATTACTGCCACACCCCTCATCCCTACTTCCCACCTTCTAGAGGCATTGAGGTTAGACCTTTTCTCCTTGTTTAATTCATTTACCACAGCTCTCTATCTTAACACATTAAAGCTCAGAGTTTCTTGTTTAGTAGTTTCACCAGACAGAATTTACATTTCTGTGCTTCTTACTGTTTTTGGGTGCTTAACAAAAGAGAAGTGGTAATATCCACCATCAAGATATATAATTCCACCATTAAGAACTATCCCTACATTTCATTTCAAAACTAACTTCCTCACTGCTTCTCCAAAGCAAAAGGCAGCCACCAATTCATCCTTATTTTCACTCTCTCCCTCAGTGGTTGACCATGTTATGGGTTCCATAAAAGTTGGCTAAGTTAAATAAAATGTTCTTTCTTAAACATACTTTTTATAAAGCTCATAATTTGTTTCCATCATTTTTATAGCCTTACATGAGGCACCTGAATCCCAACAAGCTGCTTTATAAATCTATGCTGTTTATTAGAATAAGAAACAAAAGTATGTAAAGGTCAACATAAGCACATTTTTAGTTTGACAAGCAAAGCAACTCACTCTAAGTCTGTACTTACCAATTCAGGGATGTCTTTTACTTTTAGAGGAACTTGGATTAAACCCAAATGAGTCCTGAAACTAAGAGAATCACCATTTTCATAATTTGGGTTGCGAAGATTAATTAACACCTTTAAAAACAAACCCAACAAAATTGGTTAGTTTCTTTATAAGATGTTTCCACTTGCCAAGTAGTAATATTCTTGGTATATTGCCACAAAATTAAAAACTACTTGGGGATATGCAAATACTTTAGTTATCTTCTAAAACAGTATAAAATTATATTGAAATGTTAACATATAATAACATAGATATGCTTTTAATTAAGATGGTTTTGATATTCTAATTTTTTGTTTGTTTTTTGCAGTACCAGGGTTTGAACTCAGAGCCTCATGCTTCCTAGGCAGGCACTCTACCCCTATAGCCATTCTGCCAGTTCTGGTTTTGATATTCTAATTAATGATTTACCATATAAAATTCTAAAGAGTTTGGAATTTAACTTGAGATAAAAATTTTTTGGTGGCTGGAAAAAATTAAATTTGCTTGATTGTAATATGTCACTAGGGATGATGATAAGAAAAAACAATTGCTTGATTATAGCACTTATTGGAGAAAATTTTAGAGCCAACTCTAATACTTTCAAAAATGGAAACTGATAAAGTTTTGAGAAAGGGTATCTCCTCTAAATGAAACTCACAAGAAAAAACAAAGAAAGAAATTTCAATAGCAAAGCTAGTCAAAAAAAAAAAACAAACCCAAAACACCATTTATATAGTTTTCAAAAATAAGCAGAAAAAATCATCTCAGATATTTAGCTTTTAATGTCAGCATCTCACTTCTATAAATTTGGATATGGAATACAATTCTGAGGAGATAATAATTTAAAGTCTGGGAAGATAATGCAGAAAGAATGCAATGAAATTTTGGCTTCCCAGACCAAGATATCTCTCATATATCTTGATATTTTATAACCCAATAACAAGGCACATCCTATGCAACTAAGAAAGGACTGTGGGAACCCTGCTGGAAGATGGATCTCTTTGTATCTGCTCTTGATGAAAGAAAGCCTTATGTGGTGCGCCCTGTGAAATCTCCTGAGTGTTGTCAAGATCTGACCCTGTGTAATTGTTGCAGCAATGAACAAAATAGAACAAAAAGTTTCCATCCCTGTGGCTCTTCCATTGTAATGGCAGAGGCAGGTTGTAAGTGAAAAAAAAAAAAAAAAAAGAAACAGTAGTGATAATTGCTACAGAGAAAAGGTCAGAAGGGTGTAAGGAGTTCCAAGTAGGAGGGCCAAGGGAGGTTTTGCTGGGAAGGTGACATTTAAGCAAGACATGAGGAGCAAGGGAATGAGCAGACATTATTTAGGGAAATACATTACAAGAAGAGAAAACAGCAAAGTCCCTCAGCTGGGAGGAAGACAGAGGAAAATAAGGAATCTAAAGTAGCCAGAGGAGAGAAAATCAGGAGGAATAGTAATAGGAGGTGAACTCAGAGGTAAAGGAGTAGCAAACAGGGTGTTTTGACTGTCTTGACTGGATTCCAGAATGTCTGGTTCTGAATTGTGTTTAAAGGCCTCCCTCTAAAAGGTGTGCTAAGAATAGATTCTAAGTTGTCAAGGGTAAAAGTAGAAAGACCAGTTGGGAGGCTACTACATAGCTGAAACATGACATGGACGTGGCTTGGCTGTAACAGTGGTGGTGATGATAAGAAGTGGATAGATTCAGAATATCATTTTGGAGGTAAAACTGACTGGATTACATTTAAGGCCCAAGATAAAGAATGAGATTAAAGATAGGTTAATTAAAATAATGAGCTCCAACTGCCTACTGAAGAGTTCCACCTGAATGCTCGCTCTGCCTCTCAGCTACACTAGTAGTCCTGTTCCTCCTGTACTTCTCTATCTAAGGAAAGTCACCTCTATCCAACTACCAAATCTAGACACTTGGTGGCTTTCACTATCTTTTCCTTTTTTCACAGTCCCATATCTAATCAGTTCCCAAATTCTCCTTGAAGTTTCCTTCAAATCATCACATTCTTTCCATTTCCAATGCTGTTTCTTAGTTCAGACCCTCTGATGTCTTGCCTGGACTCCTAGGACAGGGAGTGATAAAAAAGTAAGTTTACTGAGCACTGATGTGTGCCAGGCTACATGACTTCTAGTCACTATTTTTAATCACAGCTTTCCTAATTGTTGTTTCTAGTCCAACACATCTTCTGAGTCCGATTTCTAAACACAAATCTGCCATGTCATGCCACTGCTTCTAGGATCTGGGGCTCTTCACATGGTGATCCTTTTGCCTGGGGATGTTCTTACTTCATCATTTCTCTCACATTATTCTTTCATTAATATAGGTACATTTAAGCAACAGAACTTACCTCAAGAAAATCCTTAGGTGCATAAACAGGTCGAAAAAGGCTTAAGTCTAAAATAAGGAAGATTTAAACAAAATTTCAGTTAATATACTATATGAAGTTATTAACAATTAGTTTTAATATTTCTTTCCTGTATTTCTGTGAAGGTACATGAATTCAAGTATTTGCTGAGTATCAATTATTTGTTATACATTGTATGTATTAAGAACACAAAAATGAAGAGTCTCTCCCCTTGACAGTCTAGATAATATATTATAGAAAAAATTCGGAGTGTCTATTTATAAATTATAATAAATTATTTGACTGAGCTGACAAAACAATGTCAATATAATTTAAGTTCTATATGAGAAATTTCAAAATACTTAAGACTATAAACAATGCATTCTTAGTGAATGCCTCTATCTATTTTAAACTGTTCCCCTCTTTGAATTTCAGTTGCACATACTTTCTCTATTGTGGCACTTGTTTCTTGTCTAGTCCCCACACTGTTTTTTAAGCAGTGGTAAAGGAGGGAAGAGGGGGTATATACATGTCTGACTGGACAATTATAGGCATTATCTAATTATCATAGTAAATGAAATACAGTTGTTACTCATTACACGTTTATAAAATTCATTAGATTTTAAATTTTATTTTATTTTAGTTAGTTATTTTATGCTAGTAAGGAAGCCTTTATTTTGAGGGGAAAAAGGAAGAGGGATTTCTCTACAGTCATTGGCAAAGCATGTATTTAATTCTTTTTCAGTGAAAAAAATATATATATATACACACAGATCAATCTTAGTTTTAGAAACTCACAATCTAAAACAATCATATACATTTCTTCAGCAAATGTCCAGCCTATGGCTATGCATTTGTAACTTTCAACCATCACTATTCATTTTCTAGATGGGTCCAATGATAAGGAGAAATAGCAAAATATTTATGGAATACAAAAATTAAGACAAACAGTATTTTATGTTAGTGAATGAAGTGATAATAGGAGAATAATTCTGTATAAGTGATTCTCAGCTTACAGCCAGAAATGTGAAGCTATCGTTTAATTTTTAGAAGTCTCCATCACATTTTCCCTATCATGAGAGGCAGTCAGCTTGAATTTCACAAGAACTGATTATCAATCATAGATTTTAAATTTTAAATGAACCAACATAAATTCTTAAAAACATTCTAAAGCCTTAAACTTATTTTTCATTATTTAATCTACCATTAACATCTCAATGTAATTAACCTTGCAAAAATTTTATCTTCTTTAAAAGATGAGTATCAGGGATTCACTGAATAAATTTTATTTACTCTCTTATTAAAATGTTTTAAAATTATTTAATACTCTTAAAGTAATGAAGAGCATAGATCAAAGCTAGGAATTCTCTTTTTGGCAGTACTGGGGTTTGAACTTAAGACCTCACAAGTGCTTGAGCACTTGACTCACACCTCCATTCCTTTTAGCTCTGGCTATTTTGGAGATAGGGAATTGCTTTTTGTCTAGGCCAGCCTGGACTGTGATCCTAGTCCTCCTGGACTGCTTGAGCACTTGAACCACACCTCCATCCTTTTTAGCTCTGGCTATTTTGGAGATAGGGAATTGCTTTTTGTCTAGGCCAGTCTGGACTGTGATCCTCCTATTTTAAACTTCCTGCTGTAGATGTGATGACAAATAAACCCAGTTTTCTTCAACTGAGATAGGGTCTCATGAACATTTTTGCCTAAGCTGTCCTAGAACTGCAATTTTTCCAATCTCAGCTTGCATAGCTTGGAATGACAAGCCCACGACACTGTGCCCAGCTACTGGGGGAGATAGGATATTGTAAACTCTCTGCTCTGGGTGGCTTGAACCGAAATCCTCCCAATCTCAGCCTCCCAAGCAGCTAGAATTACAGGCATGAGCCACCAACACCCAGCAAAGCTAGGAATTCTTAAATTGCAAAGGAGAATTTTAAGCAAGTAAATCAGATGATAGGAAATCAGTGGGGAGGAAAAATTGCAATCCTTCCAAAAGAATTATTAGCTATGCTATTTTGAATCCCTAACTAAAAATTCAATTCTTTTCCCACTACTCCATTTTGAAGAAAGTTTATGCACCTGGTTCATCGGTTCCCATTTCGTTCCATTTATTGAGAAGTTCTTTCTGTTCTACAACTGGCCTCTGAAAAACATTATTTTTTAAAATGGTTTCACTTTTGTAACTTAGCAATACAGTTTAAAAACAAGAATCAATAACTTATTTAAAAGTTTAAATAAACTGTCATAACATAAAGTAAAATATCATTAAACATGACTATTTTTCTAGACTTGCATTTAAATTAATTATTTAATTATTACATTATATCTACTCTCAAAGACTTAGTTAGTATGGTGCTAATAAATCTAAGAAAAGAAGGTAAGTGATCTGTACTGGCCAGGAAATTTACAAATAAAAGCTGCTCCTCAGCCCCATACTACATCTCTTACCCCATCCAGCAATCTCAGAAATGCATCGCCGGGGAGCTGGCTAAGAGAGTGTGACTGTGAGTCAGTAGCATCATCTACCTATATGAAAGACACTACATATTTAGACAGTTTTCATTTAATGTATTCTTTTTCTTTTTACAGCATCCTTCTGATGCCTTCAGTGGCTTGTCCTTGGCTATTATCAAAAGTATATATCTTCAACAGCAGTTCAGTTAGGAAGAAGGAAGAGAGTGGAAGCTTGTTCCCTCCAGCCTGTGAGCAGCTGTATAGAATAGATGCCATCTTTCCTGTGACTGTTCTTCTCTTCCTTCTCTCCCTTCTCACCCCCCTCAGAGTGAAAAATAAATGTTGAATATCAGATCTAAATAGAATTTTAGTTCTGCAGAGGACACTTACTTTTTTCATTCTTTCTATTAGTGCTGAAGGATGGTATGATGTCGACCATTACAAGATCATTATGTTACCCAACTGTACTTCCAATTCAAAGAATAGGGCTACTATACTAAATTAGTCAAAATATAAGGAGACTACTCACAATCTTTGCAGCCAAATACCTAAATAATCTGTACTACAGATTCTGTGTTTCTGCTTATGGTCTAAATGTTCATAACAACAAGCATGAAAACATACACAGCAAAAATCTGTATAGACTACACCCATATAATTGACTATTCTAAAACAAGCTGACATATTAGTAAAAAAGAAATAATTTGCCTAATAGTTATGTAACTTTATGACACTTTTTAGCAGTTAATTTGCAATAAAATACATAAGCAGAAAAATGTTAAAAGTACCTTTCGTGCCAATGGGATACTCAGCTCAGTGCACATACTATTTAGACTCTTCAAAATTCTTTTTTCCCAACTTCCCTGAAACAAAAAGAAAATTCCATTATTGTTTCTCATTAACAATATGGAAACTAATCAAAAACTATTAAAGTTATTATGTGGTATATAGGTAAGGCTGGCTGGGGTTGATTATTCTAATCCATTAGTTCACTCAGCCAATATTAATTACAATCTATGCTGTGCCATATACTATCCTTAGTGCTGTAAATTAAGCAGCACTATAGTCTAGATACTGACTGTCCCTCAAAGGCCCATGTATTAAAGACTTAGTCCCTAGTGTCACACAACTGGGAGATGGTACCAAAGGGAGGTAAGGCCAAGTGGGAGTTGCTTAGGTCTTTGAGAGGATGCCCTTGAAGGGACTGTGGGGCCCTAGCCCACAATCTTTCTCTCTTTTCCTTACTGGCCATAAGATGAGCAGTTTTACTCTGTCACACGGTCCCTGCCATTGTCATTCAGCACCCCACCAGAGGCCTAAAAGTACTGAGTCTGCCCAATCATGGACTGAAATCTCTAAAACTGTGAAGCAAAATAAACCTTTTCTCTTTATAAGTTAATTACCTGAGGTTTTTAGTTATAGTGATGGAAAACTAACACAACTGACATTATAGTTGAGGGTGGAAATGAGGATAGATGAAAAAATGTCAAGTCATTTGGTAATAACCATATAAGGAAAAATAGCAGAAAATGAAAAGGTAAATTAAAGTATATTAAATATTTAATACTTATGAATCCCATTTTTAAAAATCCCATCTTTTATAAACAGAATACTACAGATCTTATCTTATTATAATTTTTCAAACATGGCATTTGACCCTTAAATATATTTCAGCATAACTATTCTTAGAATAAAAACCTTTCATTACATATCACAATATATTATCACACTAGAAAATTAATGATACTTCATAATGTTGTCTGATATTTAGCACATATTCAAAAATTTCCAATTATCCTCAAAATGCCTTTTATAGTTTTTAAAATCTAATACCCATTTTAAATTCATGCATTACATTTGATTGTTATGTCTCTTTCAATGTCATTTAATCTAGAGTCTCTCTTTTTCAAATTTGTGATATTAACTTTTTTTTTATATTAACTCTTAAAGACTCCAGGCCTGTTCTCTCTTAGAATGTGTCAGAATCTGGATTTGTTTACTGTTTTTTTTTTTTTTTCACAGTATTGATTACCTTCTCTAACCCATCTTTTCTTGTAAGCTGGAAATTATAAATTAATTTTAATAGTCATTGATATGATTAGCCATATATAATATATACCATATTCTAATATACTATTCTTATCAATGCCAACCTAACAAGACATAGTACTTCTCATCATTTTGCTAAAATATGCCTATAGGCCATTTCATTTACTTTGAAATCAAAATAAAATAATAGCAAAGTTCTAAACTTCTGATATAATGAGGAGAAAAGGAGGGAACTACAGATTACATTACTCATAAAAGACAGTTCTAGTCAGTCACTGAAAGTGGAATAATATGTGATTACAGTAAACATTGAAGATTGTAACACATGTAAATTGCTTTCAACAGTGGCAAAATAATGGTAATAATAACAGTAATTCGATAATCAACAGCTTTTATGACAGCTATCATTATCCATAGCTAATATACATATTTAATATATTAATAAGTCTCTTTATTTGGAAATTGCTTTTATGCTCTACTCCAACATGCTTATTCCTACTTTAGCTAAGTAAATCTTATTTGCACCTTAATATCAGCTTACCTGTCATTTCTCCTGAAGTCTTCTCTCACCTGGTCCCCATCCCTGGAAAGCACTGGGTGCCTAACAGCCTGTCCTTCACTTATATCATGGCACATAGCATACTTTCTTTAGTATATATGAGATACTCAATAATTGAACAGATTCCTATTCTAAATAATGTTGAAGTATTTAAACTTTATAAAATATAATGCTATAAGCAGTGAATGAACAGAAAAATTCATCTATAGAAATATATGTAAAATATATAAAGTTTGCCTTATTAAATACCACTATTTATTATTGATGATGATAATACTACTTCATTAATACAGTTTCAAAAATAATACCTTTAAAAATTCTACGAGGAGATTCCAAGATGGCGGCTAGAGGGAGGAAGCAGAAAGCATGTCTCCTAAAGTAAAATCTTGGAGAGACGCTGGAGACACACCTTGCAGGCAAAACTTTGACCCCTCCACACCTCCAGCCTATGCAAAGCATCTCCACTTCACGTTAAACCGAGAACCAGGAGGGCCCCTGGGCCGCCGGTGCCCACACAGCTTGGGAAGAGCGGACCACAAGGTGAGCTAAGCAGTACAGGGTACTCCCACAGACAAGCCTGGGCCAGGGCAGCATAGCCCCCTGGACAGACCGACCCCCACACATGGAAAAAAAGAGAAACTGACTAATAAGCAATAAGAACAATAAAGACACATAGCAAAGAGAGCAGGGCGCCCTGAGTGCCGAAGAGGGGGAAGGGGAATCCCTCACAGAACTGTAAATAAACAAGCTGGGACAGAGAAGGCAGGAGCGGCAGCACACGCCCAGGGACCAGGAGCGGGAAAGCTTGTGAGAGTGGCGGAGGGAGGAAAACTCCACAGGAGAGGGGGGAAGACCCACCTCCCACGTGAGCTGTAAATAAACATGCTCACCTGAGAAAGTGGATGCAGTGTCACCTCCCCCAGTGTGCTTGGAAAGGGGAATGTTTGTAGCAGAGGCTCACGCATAGGAGAACTCTGAGTAAAGAAAACGTGCGGGGCCAGGTGAGCACTAAACTCACCCCTGAGATCTGCATAAATAACGCCACCAGCAACAGCAGGCTGACGGCAATGGGCAGGCAAGCCACAGCCACAGATACCATTCTCAGAACTGTCTCCAGACTCTTTTTTTTTCTTTTTCTCCCTACCTTTGATGAGAGAACAACCGAATTACACCTGCATGCTGAAAAACTTACTGAAACTGTATTGCATTTGAACTTGGGACACTTGGTGGGTTTTTTGTTTTGTTTTGTTTTGTGCAGTTTTGTTTTATTTTATTTTTCCCCTTTGATGAGACAATTATAGAACCACATCTGAGGCACCATCACCAGATTGGAGGCTGAGGGATGAACACCAAAATTATTAAGACTGAAACTTTATTGCATTTGAACTTGGAGATTTATATATATATATTTTTTTCATTTATTTATTTTTTATTTTTATTTTTTTATTTTCAATCCTCTCTCTGTCTCTCTAATGCCTTTTCAGCTTACGATTGATTCATACACTGTCTCTCCCTGTTTATATCTTTGAAACATTTTTTGTTTCTTTGTTTTGTTTTTTCTAATTGTTTATCTGCTTTTCCCTTTTCCTCTAACTTCTTTGCTTTCCATCTCCTCTCACCATTCCATTCTAAGTATCACTAGTGCTATTATTACAAGCCAGAAAATACTTAACTGCACACAGTACAGGGACAGTAACAACACCAAAGGCAATGACGGGAAGACAAAAAAAACAGGGAAACCAGTTTCCCCACAGCAAAAAATTAGTACAGGAACCAGAGGGAAATGAAGAAAACAGATATTCAGACCCGGACTCCAACATAAAGAAGATAAACTATGCCAAAGAACCCAATGAAGCCCACAAGAATAATCTAAAAGAAGAAATACTACAGGTACTCAATTAGAATTTTATAGAGATGATACTGGCTATCATGTACCCATTTTGGTTGGATATGGTCAACCAAAATGTACAGCAGACACTCAAGAAATTCCAAGACAACAAAAATAGAGAATTTGAAAAAGCAAAAGAACAAAGGAAGCCATAGAAGCACTGTATAAACACCAAAGTGAAACACAGAACACGATTAATAAAGAGATAAAAGAACTCAGGACAAAAAGAGACAACATTAACGAGGAAACCACCCAGGATATGGAAAACCTCAGAAAAAAGAACGAAACAGAACTGCAAAACAAAATGGAAGGCCAATCCAGCAGAATAGAACAAACAGAAGACAGAATCTCAGAACTTGAAGATGAAATGGTAATTAAAGGAAAAACTGAAGAACTATTAATTAAACAATTCAAGACTGTGAAAAGAAAATGCAAGAACTCACCGACTCCATAAAAAGACCAAACCTGAGAATCATAGGCATTGAAGAAGGAGAAGAGATGCAAGCGAAGGGAATGCATAATATACTCAACAAAATAATAACAGAAAATTTCCCAAATCTAGAGAAAGATATTCCCATACAGATGCAAGAGGCCTCCAGGACACCAAACAGACCAGATCAAAATAGAACTACCCCATGGCATATCATCATTAAAACAACAAGTACAGAAACTAGGGAAAGAATATTGAAGGCTGTAAGAGAGAAAAAACAAATAACACACAAAGGTAAACCCATCAAAATTAATGTTTCTGCAGACTACTCAACAGAAACATTAAAAGCAAGAAGAGCGTGGGGAGAGATCTTCCGGGCACTGAATGAAAATAACTTCAACCCCAGGATACTCTACCCAGCAAAACTATCATTCAAAATAGATGGAGCAATAAAAGTCTTCCATGATAAGCAGAAACTAAAACAATATGTGACCACAAAGCCACCACTACGAAAGATTCTTCAAGGGATTCTGCACACAAAAAGTGAAACCCAACATAACCATAAAAGGACAGGCAGCACCAAACTACAGGAAAAGAAAAAGCAAGAAAGTAGAGAGTAACCTCAACTTAGGTACACACAATCAAACCTTCAAACAACTAAGACAACTAAATGACAGGAATCACCACATACCTATCAGTACTAACACTTAATGTTAATGGACTTAATTCCCCCATCAAAAGGCACCGTTTGCAATAGCCTTAAAAAAAATCAAATACCTAGGTGTAAGCCTAATAAAGGATGTGAACAACCTTTACAAAGAAAACTATAAACTTCTGAAGAAAGAGACTGAGGAAGACTATAGAAAGTGGAGAGATCTCCCATGCTCATGGATTGGTAGACTCAACATAGTAAAAATGTCTATACTCCCAAAAGTAA